CCCCCCCCCCCACCCCCCGTACGTAATTGAGGTGATCAGCGACACCAAATTCAACGAAAGCATATGGATAAGGGTACAAGGGGAACGGGGAAGGAAGGACTTGTTCGTAGAAAATGTATATATACCACCAAAGTCGAAGAATATGGTGAAGGACATCAAGATAGGGTTCGAGGAGGTAGCAGCGGATGTACAAAACTTCAAGAGAAAGGGAGAAGTAGNATAAGGGTACCAGGGGAACGGGGAAGGAAGGACTTGTTCGTAGGAAATGTATATATACCACCAGAGTCGAAGAATATGGTGAAGGACATCAAGATAGGGTTCGAGGAGGTAGCAGCGGATGTACAAAACTTCAAGAGAAAGGGAGAAGTAGTTTTAGTTGGGGACTTCAATTCAAGAATCGGGCGAACCACGAACCCACACGGAGCCATCGGGCAATACGGGGAGGGAGCCACGAACAAAAACGGCGAAGATATGCTGAGGTTCCTTGACAGTAGCGAGATGAAGGTGTTGAACGGTAGAGTACGAAAGACAGAACCGGAATGGACTAGGCAGTGTTTTAAAAATGGAGAACGCTCCATCCTTGACTACATAGTCGTAGAGAATGGGGGGAAAGAGACGGAAGTACGAGTATGCACAACGGATGTAGGCACTACAGACCATGCGTTGGTGTGGACAGCCCTACAACAAACGAGAGTCATACAGAGTAGGCGACGCAGGAAAATATACAGATGGAGAATAAATAAGCTAGAAGTAGAAGAAACGAGGGTAGAGTTTCAAGAAGAGATGGCCGTAAACGACAAGAAATTCTCGGAGTTGATAGAGGCAATGGGCACACCGAAGGATGCCAAAGGTCGGGACCAGGCCGGATCTAGAAATCATAGAAGGGTGGGAAAAGCTGGTAAACACAACGGCAAGTAGAGTTCTCGGTAGAAAGTTGATAGTTTGTAAGAGAGCAGTAAAGTGGTGGGACGAAGAAATCAAGCAAGCAATTCGAGTACGTAGAGAGTCACACGCAAAATGTGCGGCAGGGAAAACCGATGCAGGATGGAAGGAGTATGTTGAAACTAGAAAACGTTGTGGGAGGAAGTAGTCCAAAAGACTAACGAAGATTTTGAGGGGCGGATGAAGCAAATGTGGGTAGGATTTCAAGGGATAGTGGGCAAGACAAGAGGGGGAGACACGGAAATAGCGACACTATGATCTGCCGAGGGTAAGATGGTAAGCAGTTCTAAAGGAAAGCGGGGCGTACTAGTAGAGCACTACCGCAAACTTGGGACACCCACCACCAACGACAACTTCGACTCGGAGTTTGAGAAGGAAATCAACTCGTGGGCAGAGGAAAACGTTGAAAGATCTCGGAGGGAATGTAG